TTTTTTTTTTTTTTTTTTTTTTTTTTTTTTTTTTTTTTTTTTTTTTTTTTTTTTTTTTTTTTTTTTTTTTTTTTTTTTTTTTTTTTTTTTTTTTTTTTTTTTTTTTTTTTTGTATGGTTGTTTTACTCTTTTGGTAATTCTACTGCCCAACGTTTTCTTCATTATAAATTATTTTCAATGCATTCAGAAATAATTCATGTATGACTTCGGGACTTTTCTTGACCATTTCAGGGGAAGTTGAGTTGTTTGATGATCAATGACATTGATGCTGGCATTGGTAGATTTGGTAAGATTATATTTACTTAGACATAAAATTATAAAAAAAGTGAATAAAAATAACGTTAATGCATCATCTGTACCTCTTTTAAAGATAATTCAAATTAACATTTGGAGTTAAATTTTATTAGATTATAATATACATTGAAGTATTTATTCAACCGTCTATAATAAGTATGCTTATATTTTGTTCTTGTCTAGGGAATACACAGGTGACAGTCAATAATCAAATTGTTGCTGGAACTCTGATGAATCTAGCTGACAACCCTAACAGAGTTAGCATTGGACAAGATTGGCGAGAAGCAGATATTACAAACAGAATTCCGATCATTCTTACTGGAAATGATTTTTCAACTATTTATGCTCCCTTAATTCGTGATGGCAGGATGGAAAAATTCTACTGGTATGAATTAATTGTTTTCAAGATTATTACGTTAACTTCTTAAAGAAGTTACAATATATTGTACTAGTTGCTCCAGATTTAGATCTGTGATCATGTTCGGATCCTAATGTATAAGTTACATTCTATACTTGTGATACTCACCCTCTTGTTTCCTTTTGTTTTTCAAGTCATAAATAGTATTATAGCTAAACCTCCCTCTTCTAAAATGTGATTTGGTAACAGGCAGCCTAACCGGGAAGACATAGTGAATATTGTTCATAGAATGTATGAGAAGGATGGGATATCCAGGGCTCAGGTCATTGACATCGTAAACACGTTTCCTAACCAAGGTAAGAAACCTTTTTTGTGCAATTTTAAAGGTTTCAAATTGGGGTTGATACCACCAACAAGTTTGTGGGAAACGACTCCTTTTCGCTTAGCGAGGATCAATTATAAATTCCAATAAGTTGAACTTGAAGTAGTATCATGGTCACTCTTGCTCTCTCGTTCTCTCTTAGTTTGTGGAGTTTTGTACGACCATGAAAATTCTTTATATTCATTTAGTCGTATCTTGTAAATTCAATATACTTATATAGCATTTTTGTTTCATCACAAATGTAAATAGCTGCCAACAATTGTATGTTTCACACATACAGAGAAAATTTTGGTGTATGATTTGTGGGGAGTGAGGGAGGTTAGAAGGTCTCAGGACGATATTTTTCTGTCTCTGACACTCTAATATCCACAACGTACAGCATTCTTAACTTTCAAAGCAAAGTTGTGAACGTATCATCATTATCTTACATTTAAAAATTGATCCTTTTCTTTTTTCTCAGCTTTGGATTTTTATGGAGCTCTAAGGTCACGGACATATGATACATCCATATCTAAGGTATCTAACATTTTCATTGGCATTTGTAAGACAAGACCTTGATACTATCAATGTTTCTTATAAATCATTTATTGAATGAAGGTGTTAGGAACCATTCCATCCATTAGAAAAGTTGAATAATTTAATATTTTCACATCGAACTCCCTTTTTGTTTCAGTGGGTTGATGATATTGGAGGAATGGAAAAGCTAGGAGAAAAGCTTCTTAAGAGAAGGAAGAATGAAGAGCTTCCTACATTCACACCACCAGAGGTGATCAATCTATAACATTTCCAAATTCATGCTTATTTGCTTTGTCTATTCTGCTAGTCCTTTAATGGCTTGATGTTGATCAATAATTACTTAGTCGATTGATCTATCAACAAGTACGTGGGTACTATTAATTTTTTTTTACTTTTATAGATACATAATGTTGATGTATTCACAATGAAAGTACTCTATAGCACGTTAATTTATGAAAATTTTCTTAATCGTCTGTATGATAGAATAAATAATACTTAATATCACATTGAAGCGGAGCTGTGTAGCTCTCTAAAGAAGTCTAGCATGGGTATTCACACTATTTTATATCCTCGCTTCACCAATGTGATCATTATCCATCTTCACCGTACAGTAAGTTTTAATTGTTATAATAAAACGTATGTCTTCTTGTTCGTTCTGAAGATCTGTATGACATTCCAACTATTTAACTCTGAATCGAAAATGACTAGTTGCACATAGTTACCTTTTGTCTATGGAATATTTAGGAAGTATATATGTAAATTTGTTCCACAATGGTAATATAATGAATTTTTTCTGATAGTCTTCTGGAGTATACTGTCTGGATTTGCATAAAGTTAAAAGGAACGAACAGAACAGAACTCACTACTTTAGTTGAAAATTATTTATAGTCCTTTTGCTCTTTTCTTTATTATTTAATACAGAATCAGTGAAGTATGTCATTCACTATTTCTATGTCCATCGTCTAGTTACTTGAACTTAAAAGTATAGGTAGACATGGAGTGACTTTTGTATTTGGTTGAACAGCAAACAATGGACACCCTTCTTGAAGCAGGCTATTCTTTGGTCAAAGAACAGCAATTTGTCATGGAGACTAAGCTTTCAAAAGAATACATGAAGAACATGGACGACTAGCTAGAAAAGTGAGATAGTGACTTAAATTTTTTTGTGATATCTGTTCACATCACATTTTTCATTGATTGACAAGCGAATTCATGTATTTTTATTGTCCACGGTATTCGTTACTTAATTCTCTTTTTTTATGAGCACATCTGAACCAAGCATTTATGGTTCACATCGTTAGTCACTGCATAAATATATGTTACATTTATGACTGCGACCTACTTAATTTGTCATGTCAAGAGATCAATTTTGAGTGAAACTTCTTATGGCCACTGTCTTATTCGGTGGGCTCTTTGGATGGTTAGTCTCAAACCTTACCTGCTCTCTGGTCATTATAAGATTTTGATGTCATTTTATTGATATTATTATTAGTTTAAAATATATCCTTCTAACCGACTGTCAAAGTGAATTATCATACGTGAAAATAGGGCAACTTTTCCAATTGCTGGACTTCAACATCAAGTGAGTTCAATGCAAGACCGCAGGTAATCTTTACTTTTTTTTTTTTTTTTTTTTTTTTTTTTTTTTTTTTTTTTTTTTTTTTTTTTTTTTTTTTTTTTTTTTTTTTTTT